TGTATGACAGGGAGGAACACTGGGCATGTATGACAGGGAGGAACACTGGGCATGTATGACAGGGAGGAACACTGGGCATGTATGACAGGGAGGAAGGTATTTACTCTTTCACACCACGAATGTTCACTGAGCACATATGAAGTGAGGAACATTATGGGGAGCTCTGGGCCTACATGGTGAACAAGTCAGAGAAGATGTCTAATTGGAAAGTTTGGGACGTGTAAATACAAGGAGATATGTACCCCACCAGGGGACTGTAGCAATCCTGTTTTTATTCTGTATTTCATGATACTTTGATATTTCATATTTTGGTATTTCAGGCTGAAGAGAGGATGCCTCCTGCCCCAAAATCTCATTCCCCAGTACACTTAAGCAATCTTGAATCTATAGCCACCATTCATTAGTTTATTTCACTATCAAAAATGCAGCTAATACTTCCCTTTCCTTCAATCAACTCAAGACAAGAAGGCAGGCCCTGTATTCTCTAGCAGTGATCCTCAGCCTCCCTAATGTTGCGACCCTTGAGTACAGTTCCTCATGCTATGGCAACCCCTAACCATCAAATTATTTTTGTAATTGTAATTTTGCTACTGCTATGAATCATAATGTAAATATCTGATATGCAGGCTATCTTGTCTGTGAACCCCAAAGGCGTCACGAAACACAGGTTAAGAACCACTGTTCTAGAATGATTCAAATTCATCAGTTCTAAGCCGTTTCTTTCACTTTGCCTTTTCTATGGAAAGCATGATAAAGGCATAGCCTCTGTTTGCTCCTTGCTCTTTCCTGCCTTCCCCGGGGTCCCGCATAGTTAGGACACGCCTACAGGGAATATAAGTAATAAAAACCCTCCTTGAGGCTGTTGCTTCCCTGCATTCTCCTAGTCACGGCCGTAAATCAGAACCCTGTTACTCTAATCATAAGACAGAGAACATATGGAAAAGAGGCCAGAGAGTTTTCCTGACCAAGAATTAGAATCAGTAAAATGAATACAAGGAAACAAATCTCATCTACAGGGAAGAGATGGCATCAGTGCGTGCGTAAGTGACCAGGAGCAACCAACTTGGAGTGGGAGCGCAGATGCTCGATTCACTCAGTGCATATCCTGAAGGCAATTAGTAGCTAACTGGCTGTTTGAACTGTGTTTTATTGGAGGGATCTTTCTGGTCTCTCTCTCTCTCTCTCTCTCTCTCTCTCTCTCTCTCTCTCTCTGTGTGTGTGTGTGTGTGTGGGGGGGGGGGGTTGTTAATGGAGAAAGAACTACACAGAAGCCAGGTAGTGGGCTGTTGGGATGATGTAGGGAAAGATTGACAACATCTGAAATGGGTTGAAAGGGGAATAAACAGGCATTAATAGATTGGACAGATTTCCAAAAGGAGCTGAGCAGAACCGAGGAATGGACAGAGGGAAAAGGAAGAGGCCACTGTTAGGAGCTTATGACAGTGGGACAATGTGCCCATCCATATCTTTGCTGAGATAAAGCAACTATGAGGAGAACCAGAGTTGAGGGGAAGCTACAATAGTCTGGAGCAGAGGACACTTAAAAATCACATCTAAGTTAGTTAAAAACTATTTTTCAGTTATGGTAGCAGCAGCCACAAGTTAGCCCTGGAGAAGAGAGATGAACAACAGGAGCCCATAGGAAAAAGCAGAGGAACGTGACCACTGCTCACCAGGAGAAGAGAGGCTCTGAAAAGAGCCTGAGATGGGGGTAATGGACAGGAAAGCAAGAAAACCTTTGCCTACAATCTCCACCCCCCACAGCCTCTCTGTATCACCTCCTGCTCCCCCTCCCGCTCACACAACCTCTCTATATCACCTCCTGCTCCCTCTCCCGCTCACACAGCCTCTCTATATCATCTCTCTTGTAGGCTGTAGAGCCCACAGAGGCTTCCTAGTGACAATTACTCAAGGTCGGAGAATTTGAACTTGCTTTACCCAGGAGGGCTGTGTAATGGATGATTTGGCCAGGGGCATGTTTACTAGGTGTTTGGAAAGGTCTATGCTTGGCTGTACAGTGTGCTTTGATCTTGCAATGGGGGGAGGGGGTCTTTGCCTCTCCCTTGGCCATATTATAAAAAGCCCTTTTGAATAAATATCGAGGCTGGTGAGTATTGACCTAGGCCCTCCCAAAGCTATCCTGTGTCTCTGTCTTTCTTCTCAATGTCTAGGTCTCTCTTTCTATCTGTCACTTTTAAAGTTCCTCTCTCCTCTACAAAAGAACCCTTTAAAAGGTGGGAGTTGGATTCCCACACTCTCCCTTCTTCACCGGAAATGTCGTTCTGTTGAGACTCTCCATTGAAGACTCAGCCTCCAGCAATGCCTCTTTCAGGACACTTTCCCTGAACACCCCCAGGTTAGAATGAGGGTCCTTTCTCCATCACAAATGTGGGTGTGTCAGGCCTGTATCTCCCTCAACGCCAGGCACCAGCCCACAGCACCATCTTGTCCCCAGTCCAATAAGGAACACATAGTAAGCAACGACATTGTTTTGCTGAGTAAATGAAAACAAACAAACAAAAAAAGGCTATTACACTTGAGCCACTGGAAATCCTTCGGGTAACCATTGAAGCCAATTAACTTGTATTTCTTTTATTTTTGGAGATTATAATATGATCACAACATTTCCCCTTTCCTCCCCACCCTCTCACACCTCTCTCCTTGCTCTCTTTCAAATTCGTGGAAGCCAACTTAACATTTATTTTGAAAATATTTCATATGCATTTTCTAATATACAGGTGCTCAAAAACAGAATTGAAAGGAAGAGGAGATGAAATTTGAGGGGTACGTATGAGGCTCACAAAAGCAAGAAACACTTAAAGATGAAAGAGGCAAGGCTGTGGTACCTTGTACACTCTAGTGGTTTTGAGTGTAAGGGTCCATGTTCACAAATTTTAACGCATATGCTTCAGGAAGTGGAGGTCACTGAGCGAATTGAGTCCATGAAGGGAAACTGAAGCCAGTCAAAAGAACACATGAAAGTTTTAACAAGAGTCCTATGACAAAAGGCCATTGTTTTTAGCTTTAAACACTGATTATATACATTTTAGAAAGCTTCAAAATATATGGCGATCACACATTTTAGTGTAGCGCCCAGCTATCTATAATGTGTGTTATGTGGTTGGTGGGGTAACCACTGGAATACCACAGAAAAATGCATGCCACGTGGGGATGCCAAAGAAAAATGCGTG